TGGTCCTTCAGGGCCTAAATTCCACTGACTTTCAAAGAGACTTAAACTCTTAAGGCACAAATCCTCAAAGGTATTTAGGTGCTTAATGCCTGTGCCAAGTGCTCCAGGCACTTTTGAAAATGGGACATAGGAGCTTTGGGAGATTTTATCAATTATTCCAGATTTGACTTTTATTTAATCTCTCTCATCATCTATTTTTTTTCTCTTCGCTTAAAAAAAAAATAAATAAATAAAGGAAATTTCCCTAGTAGGTGTCTGCAGACCACCACTATATACTCTGTGGAAGATGCATGATATAGCTCAGAACAGCTCACAAACTATTAAACTATTGCACACAGATTATTAAAAATAACTTAGATGAAGAACCAAAGGGAAGTAGGAAGACCAAGATTAACATATCTTATCTCTGAGTGATGCTTTTTTAAAGACAGGTGGGATTATTAATTATTATTAATCTTTTAAACAGTGACAATATGCTTCACACTGTACAAAATACAAATAAGGATAATGCTAGTATTGTCTAAAAGACATTGATAAAGCAGGATGCAGTGGGAGATGCAGAAGATTTATCAACTCTAAGAACAGATGGGACCATTTTGGTCATCTAATCTGACTTTCTGTGTAACACAGACAGTAGAATTTCCACTAAATAATCCACAGAACATATATTTTAGAAAATATCCAATCTTAATTTGCAAATCGCTGGAGATGGAGAATCCATCATAACCATTCGTTAGTTGTTCAAATGATCAGTTACCTTTACTGTTAAAAATCGACACCTTAACTCAGAATTTGTCTAGATTCAACTTCCAGTCCTTGAATCTTGTTATATCTTTGTCCCCTAGATTGAAGAACTTTTTATCAAATATTTGCTCCCCATGCAGGTATTTGTATATACTGCACTCAGATCACCTCTTAAACTTCTTTCTTGTTAAGGTACATAGATTAAGCTCCATGAAACTATCCCTGTAATGCAGTGATGGGTAATTTAGGCTAGAGAGTGGGCCACGAGTGTCCTTTCTTCATTTTAGTGGGCTGCAAGATTGTCATAATCAAGAGGCTCCTCTAGGATACGTTAGTTTTGCTAACTGTGTGTGCATACCTAGAATTTGTGGGGTGTGCCAACTGGACCATAGCAGTGCTTTCTTTGGATGGATGTAGTTAGCACACACCTCACTTCACATGCCCTTACTTTACATACATGTAACTTTAATACTGGTAGAAAAAAAGCTTATGCAGACAGAAACCAGCAGAATGTGACAACCCTGTGTGTGGTTAACAGTAAGAAAAATGTCTCTCGGGCCACCACTGCTGTAAGGTACATTTCAATCATTTAATCAGTCTCATGATTCTTGTCTGAACCCTCTCTAATCTATCAACACCCCTTCTGATTTGTGTACGTCAGACCTGGATACAGTATTCCAATAGCAGTAGCACTGGAGCCAATTATGGAGGTGCTATAACCTCTTTAGTCCTACTTGAGAGTCCATTCTTTCCACATTGAAAGACTGCTTTTGCCTTGTATCAGAGGGGTAGCCGTGTTAGTCTGAATCTGCAAAAGCGACGAGGAGTCCTGTGGCACCTTATAGACTAACTGAAGTGTAGGAGCATAAGCTTTTGTGGGCAAAGACCCACTTCGTCTTGCATCTGACGAAGTGGGTCTTTGCCCACGAAAGCTTATGCTCCTACACTTCAGTTAGTCTATAAGGTGCCACAGGACTCCTCGTCGCTTTTGCTTTTGCCTTAGCATCCTAAGCACCATATGGGAGGTCATGTTCAATGATCCTCAAATCTTTCAGAATCACTGCTTCCCAGGACAGAGCCCCACATCCTGTAAGTATAGCCTACATTCTTTGTTCCTAAATTGCATATGTTTATATTTGGCTGTACTAACACAGATATTATTTGCTTGTGCTCAAATTGCCAAGTAATCCGACTTACTATTTTAGAGACCTGTCCTCTTTGTTATTTACCAATCCTCCGATTTGGGCCATTTGCAAACTAATGTTAATTTATAACTAAATTTGATTGCATTTAATAAAATACTGTGGGAATAAATGGTATTTGACTGATGTCGGTTAGCATTTATGAGCCTCAAGGTAGGAAGGAATTTGAATGAGAAGATATGGCCTGGGGACTAGAATTCAGAGGTTGCTCTAAGCATAGAAAGCAGAATGGAAGAAGATCCAGAGATGGAATTTGGAGTTGCTACAGCATGTGAGATTACTTATATGTATAATTTCTCAGCATATATAAAAATATACATATGTTGTTCAGCAACATATTTATGGCTTTGGTACATGCACAGCAACCTCTCTGCTCCATTACTGCATGACATACAGTAAAGTGGCAACATGAATTATTGACACAAAGGCTTCATACATTCTCCTATTTTATTTAAATTGTGCAGTAACTACACAATAATTCTAGTGAAAACATCAGCATGGACACAGTGAGCCAATTTTTTAAAGGGGCCCTTAACAGGGCTCTAAAAGTGTATCATAGACAACTTGGGCATCCAAAATTGCAGGAGAAATTTTGGAAGCCTTCCTGTGAAACAGTGGCCAGTAAATTACACAATCGCTACAGCATGTTATATAATCATAGAATCATAGAGTTGGAAGAGAACTCCAGATGTCATTAGGTCCACCCCCCTGCTAAAAGCAGGATCAATCCCAACTAAATCATCCCAGCCAGGTCTTTGTCGAGATAGGACTTAAAAACCTCTAGGGATGGAGATTCCACCACCTCCCTAGATAACCCATTCCAGTACTTCACCACCCTCCTAGTGAAATATATCTCAGATAACTATCCAGTCTAAGAAACGATATAGATTAGACAGAAATATGTACATAACTAATGTTATCTCAGCAGAAATCTCTTTTCCTGTTTGGAAAACAAAATCAACATCTTTCCTATAAATAAATTGTGTTGCTTAGCGTCACATGTGCCAGATCTGGGATACTGCTGAATACTCAGGCTAGATTCAATTTAAAAGACTATCTGCCCAGCTTTCCTTCCTTGAAACAATGCATGTGTACCTAAAGAGCACAAAAGAACAGCTTCTGCTACCTTATATGGAGAGAAAGATAAAACAATTTGTTGCTGAATCAGGCTTTGGAGCATAACCTTGTCTTCAGTGGTGAGTGGTTAGGATTTTGTGACTTTCATCCACAGGTTAAAAATAATTCTAAAGCATGCCACACTGTTGTTGGGGAAAAAGGAGGGGGGAGAATTAAGCATTTGGCAAAGAAATGTTAGTGGCAGTCACAAAGCCCTGAAAATAAAACAGGTTTGAATTAGGACTCTGTGATTTTTAATGAATTTCAGTATAATTTGTATCAAATTAGCATTTGTGTAACACCAAGTATTATATGGCACAAGCACACACAAACAGATTAGGAGTTACATATTTTCTTTAAATCCTTTCACCTTACAATGGTTTATGTTTATTACACTGCCATGTATAACACTTTAAAATTCCTGTAGAAATGTATCCTATGCAGCTTCCATGTAGTTTTTGCATTGAAATAACAGCTTCCAATAGCATGATTCTCAGCTCATATATGCCTGTTTGCCACCTATTCAACTCCACTAGAATTGTTCTTGGGGGGAATTAAATGAGAATCAGGTCCAGCTAGTTTCATTTGATGAAACGATGTGACAAAACTATTGAATAAAAACTGAATGAATCTGCAGTTAGGTCCTGATCCAGCAAAATATGTCAGCACTTGCTGAACTGGATGCACATGAGTCATCCCATGGACTTCACTGGGATCACTTAAGCACCGTGTGTGTTTGTTATTTTGCTAGACAGGGACCTTACACAGAACTCTGTATCTCAAAACCAGCCCTTTAACTAGGTTCTTAGTAAGATCAGCCAATCTCTTGCATTCTGCCAGCATTGTATACAAATTCTTACTGTTTTTCTGTAAACATTGCTCTCTGTGCAAAACTGTTAATAGAAAGAGTCCAGCATTGCCTGGGATTTTCATGCACTCTAATGCCAAAGTTCTTTAAGAACCTGTGCATTAGTTGTAGACATGACCTCAGCTAACCCAAGAAAAGCCACAGGCATGTCCCCTTTCCCTGTTGGCAGCTACTTTAATTGGCAGGTTCACAATGAACACTTTTGTTTGCATCCTAAACATTCAGAACACAATTAAAATGTTTGCTACTTTCATCTTAAGAGTGCAGCAGTTAATACCATTTTATATAAGCCAAGTCTGTTACATTTAAATAGCAACAGTCAAACACGCAAGGAAAGTGTTTTGCAAGGATTCACGAGGTTCACTTTTTTTAAAAGAAATAAGAAATTATTTTTGTTTTAAAATAGAAATTCTGTTTCTGTTCCAGTGCATTGTTCTGCTATATTGCTATCCTTTGGCAAAAATTACAATGTGTATATTCTACTGTCCTCTGCTGGATGAAATCAAAATTGCTTATTTGTATTCCATAGACCATACACTGCCAGCACCTAATGGAGATTCTCCTTTCTCTCAAAGGCAGGGTGGGAGTCGTGCTCCATGGAGCAAGCGGATCTGAATTCTGTTAATGGTGCCATATGACATTCCTAGTGGTAATGGTATGGCGCATGTTGACAGCTGTGAAGTATTAGACTGTTACAAGAAGAAAATGGAATAGAATAGATTTTGGCTTTACATAGTGCATATTATCATGTTCCCAGAGCACTTAAAAGTGCTTTGCAGAGCAATAAATCAGATCTTGGTGGTGCAGTAAGTATGCACAGGCAGCTGTGTTTTCAGTAACTATCCACACGTAGCAAAGGAGCAATGTGTTAGTATATGATTTATTGGCAATAAGCATGTTGGACAGCCACCAAGTCACACTGAAAGTCTCTAAACCTATGTGAGAAATACTTGATCCTACAACTATTTACAAGGACAAACCCTTCATTTACCTACTAGAACTGAAATCTTATGAAGGGACATATGCAGGTGGACTTCTAATGAAGTAGCACTAAGCCTTCCTACCTGATTTGTGCATGAGAATAAACAAAGCAATGCACTTTGTACTTCCAGCTGATTACATGGGCAAATCTGGCACATGCAGCTTCAGAAGCCAGAGCTAATTCTTTTTCCTTCATCTTATTTGGTAAGTAATTTGGCTGTGAATGTCCTTGTTTTTCCAATGGCACTAGTCATGTTAAAAGAAAGAAAAAGTCAAATAGCATACTCAGCGATGTTTCCTTTTCCACTGTAGCTTATAGATTTAATACAAAATATTCAAACATGGATTTATCCAGGCTCTTCAACCTAGCTCACCAACCTAGCAAGTTGGTTGACTGCTGGGGCTCCTTGGCTGGTTGAGAAATTCCATAAAAGTTCTCCTCCAAGGGTATGTCTACACTACAAAGTTAATTCGAACTAACAGACGTTAGTTCGAATTAACTTTGATAGGCGCTACACAGGCAAACCGCTAGTTCGAACTTAATTCGAACTAGCAGAGCGCTTAATTCGAACTAGGTAAACCTCATTCTACGAGGACTAACACCTAGTTCGAATTACCTAGTTTGAATTAAGGGCTGTGTAGCCACTTAATTCGAACTAGTGGGAGGCTAGCCCTCCAAAGCTTTCCCTGGTGGCCACTCCGGGCACCACCAGGGAAACTCTTCTGCCCCTCTCCCAGCCCCGGAGCCCTTAAAGGGGCACGGGCTGGCTACGGTGCCCGTGCCAGGTGCAAGCCTGCCAGCACCCAGCCAGCAGACCCTGCACCTAGCACGGCACAAG